CACTTTCACAGGGCCTGTTTGCATCGAATTCTCTGGGTCTCAACTTAGGATGAGAATGTCACTCTCCTACTGGCACAGGGTAGGTATCTGTCACGTGAGAGTTTTTATCTCTTGTTTTCAGGCAGCAAACGGGAGGGTAGAAAGCCCTTCTTCCGCTGTTTCGCAAGGGCTATTAGTTCAAAATAATCCTTATGCTAAAAGGGCATATTTGGGGGTGGCACGTTTCGCACCCTTCAACAAACACGTTTCTACATCCGTATTTCTTTCGCTTTGGGTGTAGAATACTCACCAGTCACAGACGGGCAAAGGCTGCATTCCTACCTGGCCCCTCATAGAGACACAAAGTAGGAGGAGGGGTGGAGTGGGGGGCGGGGGCCGGGGAGCCGGGCAGTTAGTGTTTAGCGGGTCCAGTTACAGGTTTGCAAGATGAAGAGAGTTCTGGAGACGGATGGTGGGGGCGGCTGCACAACAGTGTGAATGTATTTTGTGCCACTGAACTGGACACGGGAAAAATGGTTAACATGGTGGGGCGCCCGGCATGAGGTGCTGAGAGGGGATGGGGGTGGGAATTTAAGGTCGGTTCAGCGCCCGACTCTTGGTTTGGGCTCAGGTCATGATCTCACCTTTCATTTGTGGGTTCGAGCCCTGCATAGGGCTCTGTGCTGGCAGCTCAGAGCCTGGAGCCTGCTTGGGATTCTGTGTCTCCCTCTTTCTCTGCCCTCCATTGATGCTAATGTGTGTGCCGTGTTCTCTCTCTCTCTCTCTCTCTCTCTCAAAATATAAACATAAGACAATTTTTAATTAAAAGGGAAAATTCACACGTCCCCACACCTCTCACCTTCTCTTTGGCTTTAAATACGCCCCCCTCACTTGGCATCCCACTGCCTCTTTAGCAGACAGCCTCTCTCTGTGTGTGTGTCCTGACCGCTGCTCCCTTGGGGCCTGTTCAATAAACTTCGTCATGCCTTTGTTCCGCCTCAGGTGAATCCTTTCACCTCCATGCCACTTCTTCCCACACGTGATCCTCACCCACGTTTGGGGACCCCCATCTGATCGAGAGACAAAAAATCATGCCATTTAGACACCACACGTATATATTTTATTTATTTACTTTAGAGAGGCGCTGCAAGCAGGGAGAGGGCAGAGGGAGAGACAGAGAACATCTCAAGCGGGCTCCCTGCTCAGCACCAGTCTCGATCCCATGACCCTAGATAATTCTGACCTGAGCAGAAACCCCAGTGTCTGACGCTCAACTGACTGAGCTAGTCACCCATATTTTATGGATGCTTAACGTAAATAAAAGATTTTAAGGAGACGCAAACCCCCCCCCACCCCACCCTCCAAAACCCCTCATGAAATACCGCCAGTCAGGTTCATGGTCATTTTCCCCTTTCCACACTAGCACTCTTCCCTCTGAATGTCACAGAAGAGACTCGCCTTCCGTGGTGGAAACCCACCCTGCAGTCACTCCCGCAGGGACCCTTTTCTCCCCAGCACAGACACCTCCGACTCCCCTGCTGGGGCTGGGTTCCCAAGGTCCAGCCGCCCCTCTCCCCTCACCTCCACCCTAGGTCCTGAGGACCACACCCTTCTGAGCGCCCTCCTCACTCACTCCCTCTGACACGACAGCTGAACAGCGTCCCCTCCCCTCGGCCAGCTGCTAACCTGCCCCATCCCCCCCCCCACCAAGAGACAGCACCTGTCCCCCCACCACAATGTGGCCCAATCCTTCAGCCAAGGAAGGAGAGCAAAGGGAAGGGAGGGAGAGGGAGGGAAGAGAGAAGGAAGGAAGAAAGGTGGAAAGAACAGGTCACTGGACTCCCACCTCAGGCGTGGAAACGGACCACGATCCCTTATTACTTGGAAGAACTGAGTGGACGATGGGAAACACTTCAAATTTAATACATGGTGGGGGGCACCTGGCCGGCTCAGTCGGTTAAGCACCCAACTCTGGATTTCAGCTCAGGTCACGATCTCAAGGTTCATGGGTTCCAGCCCCACACCCAGCTCCTCACGGACAGTGCTTGCGATCCTCTGTGTTCCTCTTTCTCTCCATGCCTCCCTCTCTCTTTCTCCATCTCTCAAAATAAATAAATAAACTTCAAAACAAAAAACACGGTAAATCCCACATGTGGCTGAAAATACGTAAGAGAGTTTAACGACCTCAGTTTATCAATGGAAGCAAGCATGACAGAAAATGCTTCCCTCCGCGGTGATGGGGTTGGGGAAATGTATTCTATCCAGAAATAGAAGTGTAAGTTTCCAGTGGATTCACCGCTTAAGAAAGAGTCAGATTTGAGCAGTGTCTTTCTCCTCCTTGGAAGGCTCACTCACAAAACCAAAGCAGCCCCGCGGGGCGCCTGGCTGGCTCCGTGAAGCTTGGGACCCCGGACCTCTGGGTGGGGAGTGCCAGCCCCACGCCGGGCGCGGAGATCACTCACTTCAAAACCAAAATCTTCCCACAAAACAACATAAAACCAAAGCGGCCCCCGGACTGATGTTCAGCGTGTACAAAACCGGCCCAAAGTCCCCAACACGCTGACCCTGGCAGAGAGCCTGGGGGTTTCAATGCCCACAAGCACGGTGGGTACACGGGGTTACTTTTCAGTCACCAGAGTTGTTCCCTGCAGGAGGGTGAAGGTCCCCCGACTCAGCCTGCTGGCCACCCCTCTCCACTCCCGGGACACATGACACGGTGGCCACGGGACGCCCAGACTGGCAGCGCTGTCCCGGGCGGGCGGAGGGGGGCTGGCTGTCTCTGGGGCTCGGGGAAACTCGGTGGGGGTGGGGGTTGCTCAGGTCCGGACGTTTCTCGAATCCCACCCTCATTCTGTTACAACCTGCGCGTCTTCGGAATGCGAGGCATCGCTCAGGGAAAAGCACGAGGACTGAGACCCAGGCACGGTCACGACTCACTGGGAATGGAAACAGTGCTCCTGAAAGTATTATTCCAGAACCGATGCAGACATGATCCACACCAGAGAATGGGGCTCCGGCACGTGCGCGCGCGCCTGGCTTCTGAGAAACGAGCCCGCCATCAACTGATAACAGATCGACTGCTGACACTTGGGCCCACAGCGAAGTCACAGTCGAGTCTGGACTTGCAGGTTGGCAGCGTGTGAAGACACATCCAGCCCCAAAGAAGACATCTGGGGAAGGACTAGTCATCGGGCCCCAAGAGCACGTGGAGAGCGAGGCGGCCGAGGGGGACACCCCGAACCTGAGATCCGAGACAGGTGGAGCCCACGATTCGATTCGGGGACGCCGGCTCCCGGGTGTGGGTGCCCCGGCCTCGGGCCCCCTGTCCTCTCTACCGGAAGTCCTGGTGACCGGCCCTGCCCCCACCTGGGCCCCCCGCCGGCCCAGCCCCGGGCTGCTTCCCTACTGTGGGACCTTGGCTGAGAGGGTGCCCCACTCTCTGCCTCCCTCTTCTCCTCTGAACACTGGGGTGCTTGCAGCCACCCCCACCCGCCTCGCAGCTGTCCGGCCTCCCTGTGTGAGGTCCTGGCCCCCAAACTGCCACCCCCTGCCACCCGCGGGGTGCCTCACGTGGTGTGGGGATGGAGAGAGTCTGGGAGGCCTGGGGGACAGTCAGGTGGCAGATCAGGTTCTGAGTCTGGTTGTCTCCACCCAGAGTTTCCATTCTGGTCTCTGCCCCAGGCCTCTTCCCCCTGGAGGGTGGGGGGTGGGGGGCAGGAGTGGAGGCTGGGAGGGGGTGGTGGGGGTGGACAGGAGGCCTGCTGGGCTGCTGGGAGGGGGTTCTGCTCAGGGTGGCTGCCCCACCCTGCCTCTTCCCTACCTTCCAGAACCTTCTTTCAGCATTCTCCCTCTGACCCCACCCTTCCCATCCTGGATTCTTCTTCTGGAATCTTGGACTATGGAATCTTGGGCTGTGGGCCTGAGTGGAGGATCCCACGTCGCTGCTCCTGGGTCAGGGCGCGGCTGGGTCCCAGGAAGGCCCCCCTCTGCCTCCCCTCACCCGAACCTGGCTGGGAGAGCGGCAGCCATTCTGGGAGGAGGAAGGAGACATGGCGTTGAGGAAGAGAAGCAGACAGGGCCACCCGGGAGGGAGAGAGAGTCCGAGCCAGAGGGCCAGGGAGAGACACCAGGGCATTCCCAGGGACAGAAGAAACAAGGCGGAACCCGCCAGAGTTGAAGAAGGGCAGAGAGACACTCACCCGGGGATTGCCCGGCCGTGCGCCTTCGGGCAAACGGCCTCCCGGCCTCCCGTGTCTGAGCCTCGGTTTCCTGGTCTGTGAAGTGGGGGCGAGTGATCCCCTTCCCCGCTCGGCTAGCGGTGAGCGCTCGGGGAGGTCCTGTGTGCGCCAGGCGCCCAGGGCCTCAGACCAGGCGCTGGTGTCATTCCTTATTCGTCTTTCAGGCGCACTTGAGGAGCCCAGACCGTGTACCAGCCGCTGCTCTAGGCCCCGGGAGACGCGGCTCATCAGGCACACGTCCTGCCCCCCGGAGCCCCGCGGGCACAGTGTTGTCCTTGCCGGGGTCACCGTCACGCGAGGGAGCGTGAGCTGGAATTTCGGTGGACGCGTCCTCAGCCCAAGGCGCAGGTCCCAGCCTGGGAGAGAGGGGCCCCCGCTTCCAGCCCCGGGTGGGCCTCTCGGGGCCCCAGATGTCCAAGATGAAATGGGCAAAGACCCTTTCCCCTGGGCCAAGCGGCAGGGACATGGCCGGGATGGATGGTGGCCCCCTGGGTGCCCTCTGTCCTTGGCGGTTCGCCCTTAACTGTCTTCAGGATTCTTAGCTCAACGGAGGGGGCGGGCGGTGGACTGGGAACCCTCAGTGAGTGGAGGGAAGTCCCGGGCCCAGCAAGAAGGCGCTGGGCCGCCGGGTGGCCCCAGGGCCAGGGTCTGTGCCAGGTGTGGGCTGCGGGTGTGGAAATGGCTGGGGGTGAGTCAGCGGGGCCGCCACGCCCTGCTTCTGCTTCTACTTAAGGTCCCAGCAGCCATACCCACCGCCACGCCTGTCGCCCCAGCGTCCCAGCCATGGCGGGAAGCTCTGTGAGTGCCTTCGGGGGGCGT